GATTCCAGGTGGGAAAATAGATGCCACCTCTTTGTGGGAGGAACTGCAGAGCATATGCAGGGAAGAGAATAACTGTGACCATTTTTGGCAATTCATCTACCACATCCTGGGTAATGTTGTCAACATACCAAACCTTTGAAATAGAGAAGCTGAGTGTTGTAGTGTGGGTCCCTTCAGTGTTACTTAGCAGCAGGTCCCCGAAGCATGGCTGCTTGGTCCCCAGAGTGTCCCTGAAGCTTATGAAACAGTCCTTTGAATTGTAACTTAGAGCTTCTTCCATCTTCCCAGAAAACCCCCACCTGCCACAGTGTGTCCAGGGGCCCGTTGGGGGCTGAGTTGAGTGACAATCTCACCTCCCTTCTGTCAGCTAAAGCTTTATTACTGGACCAAGCTTGGTTTCTTCTTTCCTTAGACTGAAAATGATCTCCCAGGAGGGCCTTTTCTCACCTCTCAAACAAATTCATTTCTAGCCAGTCCACCAGTCTAGTGTGTCAGACATGTCCAGATGTTTTTGGGTCCCAGTGGCAGAACTTAAGCTTCCTTATTTCTCCATAACTCACTAGATCTTCCTTGTAGATTCTTACCTCCTGTATAGAAGAGAAAAAAAAACGGAGTGCGATGCAATAATATAATCAATTCTGCTGATCTCCTTAGGTAACAAGTCTCTCAGAGTTCTTCCTCCCTTTCCCAGCTCTGTCCAAGGTAGATCTTTGGGGTAGGGTCTGTCTTAGTTCTCCTGTGGTGGCTTGTGCAGCTGGTGCTTTTGAGTCCTCCTGGACCCTGCTGCAGAGGGCCTGCTGTATGCTGAGGGGTGATGGCCCCATTCCTGACCGTCTAGCTGGCATCTACTGCTGATGCCTACAGCTTGTGTACCTCATGGTCTGGGTGCTCCATATTCCTTCAGGGCTCTGCAGTGCCCCCTGTCCTCCTTGACTTTAGTTTGGCCCACACCAATGCTCCCTCTGAGTCCCTATCACGTCCTCCCATCAGTCCTGACCTAGCCTTCAGGGGCAATGTGCCCTTCTCCATGCTAGGTCTTAGAGCCAATGATTTGTGTTCTGTGTCACATCCCCCCAGCCCACTTCTCATGCCCACCATGGTGGGCAGTTCCATGTACAATAACCTGTCCCACCTCAAGTGCCAATGGCAGTGGCTCCTGCTTTTCTGCTTACAATGTTTCCATAAGGCCAAAGATGTCCACAGAGCCAGAAAGTAATGAGAGTTAAGCCCTCCCGGGAGTAATGCTCAACAAGTGGGGGATGGTTGAGAGTAAGCAGATAAATGCCCAGCCCCCCGACCTTCAGAGAGGACAATTCTGAGGCACATTTTACACAGTTCCTCAGAGGGTCCCCAGAGAAATGAAGTCCCAGTTACACATCCTTTATTAGCATTTCCTCCTTGTCTGTCTCACTCTTCTGACTTCTGGGATCAACTCTTAAGTAAAGGACCTGCACCTAAGTCCTTGTCTCAGGTTCTGCTTTTTTTTTTTTTAGCTGAGCCATCCTGCTACCTGTTGGCAGCTCAGCGGCTCCTCAGCTCGGGCTGGACTCGAACTGCTGTTGCTCAGAGCTCAAACTCTTGAGCGAGCTCTTAACCAACTGAGCCACTCGGCCGGCCCAGGTTCTGCTTTTGAGGAAACCCAAACTAAGACCCTACAGAAGGCCTGTGGCTCACAATCTAGCTTCCCTCTGTGGCTCCTGGTCCTTGGGAGCAGGTAGGAACTTCTGCATCATGTCTGTGCCATGCAGGGATTATGGGGTGATCCTAGAAAGCTAAACCCAAGCCCTCTCTCTGTGTAACCACGGTAATCTACGAAGTTGACTTTGAGGAGGCCGCCCTCTCCCCTAGGTCAGTGACTGAGAACAGAAGAGAGCAGTCAGTGTGTCAATCTCCTCTCCTCTACCCCCAGAACTCCCCTTAACCTTTCAACATGCCTCCGCACTCTGGTCAAAATCACAAACAGGGGAGACGCAACCTTTCCGACTGTGTGTCCCCTCCTTCCACCCTTCTCCCAGAATCCACTGGGAACAGAAGAGGGGTCCGGGCCTCTCACTTCTCTGAATATCCTGCTTCTCCTCACACATAAAGGAGAACTTCACTGGTAAAACTTGCGTCTTGAGATGTTATAGGGGGACATAAAGGAATTTGGAAAATCACTCTCTCTGGACATGCTTCACATTCCTGTCACTGTTCTGTTAAACAGATAAGGCAAGTCTTTGCTCCCTAAACTTGTGCTGTCCCAATATGGTAGCCACTAGCCACATGTGGCAATTGAACACTTGAAATGTGACTGGTGGAACTAAATTTTAAGTTTATGAAATCGTAATTAAAACTTAAATTAAAAAACTTATACTCATTTCAGTTATTGGGAAACTTTTAAGCAAGTTGTTTGGAACAACTTGGGTAAGTGAATCTATTTTTTCAAGTAGAAATTATATAAAATCTAAATGCAGATCGAATATTTTCGATGAAAATTTAATGTCTGAATTGAGATGTGCTGAAGTATAAATACATATTTGATTTTAGCTTTACTTAAAAAAATAGAATGTAAAATATAATTTCTTTATGTTGTTTATCCATTGAAATGGTAATATTTAGGTTTAAATTCAATATATTATTAAAATTAGTTTCACTTGTTTTTTACTATTTTTAATATGGCTTGAAAGTTTTAAACGACACCTGTGGTTTGCATTGTATTTCTTTCAGAGCACTGGTTCTAGGTAATTAGTATCTGTCAGCTTCCTGGTGCAGCTGTGGGGGGGGGGGAGTTGCTGGGGCTGCAAGGTAACAGGGTTTAAGGGGAGGGGCTTTAAGGTATCAGTTTAATATTTGCACAATATTATCCCTGTTACAGATAGGTGTATTGTCCCTATATTGCATTGAAGGATAAGGGCCTATTCCTTTCTCTTGTGGTTTCTATATGGGGAAATTGATGAAGAGTTAGAGGTTTCCTGGTGTTTTGAACCAATCAATCTATTCACCAAGGTGGAGACTATAAGTGGAGATGAATAGATTTTGCTTTAAGCAAGACATAGGGTCAGGGTTCCTGGAAACCTAATTTGGACAATGTAAGTCCACCCCCCGGCCCCAGGTGACTGGTCATAGGATAGTCACCTGACCGAAGCTGGGCCAATGGGCTGCTCTCCTGGGACATTGGAATAGAGACTCAGGGATTCTAGTTCCACTTGGCTGCTTTCTTAAACAGGGGAGCTCCAAGCTCCAGTGATATAAGTGATGGCCACCTTTTGTCATGTGCCTGGGGTGCAGGGAAGGCCAGTCTGATGAAATGGAAGAGCTGGCCCCTCACAGGAGACTTCCTGGGTTACTGGGAGCTCTCCAGGCTCTGGATTTGCCTCTCACTGAGCTTTCCCTGCAGTTCTGACCCTGAGGCTGTAGGGAAACCCTCATGTCCTCAAAATACATTCCCCTGAGGGTGTTCGTGTTACCTGCAAAGGAAAGAAGCTTAACTAATACAGTGGCTCCAGGGGGAAATTAATAGAAGAACTTTGCGTTTATAGCTCAAGGGGCAAGGACCAGAAGATTTTATTTTTCCTATAGAAAAAGCTGGCTAGTGGTCTCCTTGTTCCTGGGTAGCTGACAGTTTTTAGCACCACCCTACAGCTGTGTTTTGGGTTCAAAAGACTTTTGTGGCTGGCCTGGGAAGCAGATCATCATTTATAACATTGTTTCTAAGGGAGACACATTCCAAGATCCAAACAATGAATTTAGTAAAGAATGTTTGGCTTCCAGGAGGGATGAACTGATCTTGCTGTATCCTGGGGGTTGGCTGCCCATTAATGGTTAGGTCCCCCTCTTTTTTGGTATGAAGACTGGCTCTGCAGTTGGAGTTTGTGTGTGGGGAGAGAATTCTGAAAAGAGGGAGGGAACAGATAAGGAGCCCAGCAGCTGGGGTGCCCTAGGGCTTCTTGTGCACGGAGAGCCCCTGTGGGTCCACGGCTGGATAAGAGGGGGAGGTGAGAGATGGACAAAGACATTTGGCCTCCTTCACATTACTGTCACGTCTGCCAGCCCGCGAAGTCGAAGGGGCCTGGCTTAGCCCCGCTGCTCAACTCAAACCCTTTTTGGCATAAGCCTGGGTATTAGGAAAAAAAAAAAATCCTACACCCTCTGCCTGGGAAATCCGGAGCGCTCGAGGTGGGCTCCGCGGGGCAGCGTTACTGTTCCCAGGGAGTGGCTGTCACAGCGCGGGGCGAGCCGAGGGGTTTGGGCCAAGGCTCCATCCCTCTCGGAGATGGCTGACAGAATGGGGTGAGGGGAGCCAGCTCATCCTCCCCACCCTCGCATTCTTACCCCCTCCTCCCCACCCCACCCTCCACCCCTACCCCCAGCCCGGAAGAAGAGCTAGCAGCCCCAGCCCTGTCTCACGGGAGGGGAAGGATGGGACGCGCAGCCACAGCATTGTCTGGGAGGGAGGGGAGAAGCTCCGCCCCCCCAGGGGGGAGGGGGAAAGGAGGAGGTAGGGCGGGAGAGGAGGGGAGGAAGAAAGGCGAGGGAAGAGGGGTGTGGGGAGAGACAGAGAGCTCGAGAAAGGGGGAGGAGGACGATCAGACTGGATAAGGGCAGATACAGGCATTGGGGCGGGCGAGAGGGCGGGGAGGGGCAGAGGGGGCCGGAGGAGGGCGGGGCGCCCGACCCCCAATCGCGCGGCCGCCGCCTGCCCAGCCCCGCTGGATGTGAGCCCGGCTGGTCGACCGCTGACCCACGCGCGTGCTGGAGCAGTCCCCCGGCCGCGCCACCCCACTTTCCAATTCCACGGTCTCTGCGGCGCGCGCGAGATGCAGCCGGCTTGGCATACAGGCAAGGCTCGGGGTGCTGGGCGCGGGGCTCCGAGCGCGGGATGCGGGACGCAAGGTGCTGGGTACTGGGTGGTCAGTCCTCTCTCCACTGACCTCCCTCCCGCCTCGCGGAAAGTTTTCCCGCAGAGTCCCCTGCCTGGTCCAAGTCAGGCGTTCAGTCCTGCTTCTGGTTTCCTCCTAGGTCCCCCAGCCGCGGGGGGTTCCTGAGGGTACGGACTCTACAGGGGCCGCGTAGGCGTGGAGCCCCAGCCCGTCCCCTTCCTGCCGGAGAAAGTTGTGGCTCCAAACTCGCTCTCCCGCTCCGACCCCTGGGGTCCTTCCTTCACTCCTGCTCCATCCCCGGGGGTCCCCGGGACTCCCTGGCGAGGTGGGGCCGGGCGGCAGGTGCAGAGATTACAGGCCCCTACAGCCCCGGGGAGTGTCCGACCCCACTTCGGTCCCTTTCTTCCCTGGCCAACGGACGGTTCCCCAGAGGCGGGTTCCAGCCCCCCTCGTGAGCTCCCTCTGCATTCATTCAGAAGGGAGCAGGGTGCGCGGGGCCCCCGGTTTCTCGGGGCACTTCCCGTTTGCAGTCTCTCCGCCCACCTCCGGAGCTGGTGCCTGAAGTCGCTGGGGACCTCGGTTTGGCGTCCTATGCGCCCAAGAGAAGCACAGGTGCCTTGGGCGGACCCCGGCCACTAATGCATTGCGAACACCTGCTTTGCATTCAGCGCCAAAGCCAGGAGAGCCCTGGGGACAGCAGAGAGGCGCGGTGGCCTGACAGGTAGTCCGAGGGTTCAGCCGTTGCGTCTTACCCAAGGGGCTCTCTGTGGGCCCTGGGTTGTTCACAGCACCTCTTCGCTTCGGTGACAGGAGGAGCTGAGCACCACGAGGCTTCTTAACGCTGCCATGCACTTTATTCCCAGGTGCCCGGAATTCGCATCCCTAGAACGCATTCTCCCAGAGGACAGAGCCGTATCTAGAGCCGACCAGGTTTATAGTAAGTACCTTACATGTGATGAATGAATATCTGAACCAATGAGCTGACAAATAATAATTTGTCCTAGAATGGGACTGGGTTCCTGCCACCATTGATCTTGGTACAATGGGAGGAAAGAATTAGAAACAATGATTCTTTTAAACAGCTGCCTGTGAGCTAGAGCCAGGGGCCTTCTTTCCAGAGACTCTGAATGAAGAACCTGGGGTTGGAATTATTTTACTTATCAATCCACATTTACTTACTGGGGACTTTTTTAGCAGGCGGTCTGAAGAATTAAAGAAATTTCTCATGACTAAGATATATTGGGTTGTTTAAGCAGAGTTTATTCTTTTTAGCTTGTGTCTGAATGCAGTGTCCCAGGGACTAAGTGTGGAGTTGGCCTATTTGGGATCAGAGACCCTGGACTGGAGCCATGAATCTGGGCACCAGCTGTGCTTTCTCCTCTGGACAGGTCTGCTGATGCCTGGGAGCCGCAGCAGTCCCTAGGGCCTCTGGGGGGTTAGAAAAGGGCCTCAAATGATGGCTGAGCTCAGAGAGCTGGGGTAATTCTGGAAAGAGGGTAGTTCTTACCCTGGGAGAAGGAGATGGTGGCATAGTGTGCAGCTTGCCTGCTTGGGCACTTGGGAGTCTGAGCTGGTACAGTTCAGGATTCCCTGTGTTGGGGAGTGAGGTGAGTCCCCTCCTCCTTCTGAGGATGGGAGAGCAAAGATGGAGTACTTGGGGACACTGGGTAACTTTTGGAGTGCGGCCTAGACATATCCCATGCTCCCCTGCTCTCACTTTTCTGCTGGTGAAATCTGTTAGAATGATGAAGGGCACCTTTGGGGAGCCTGGCTGAAAGGAGGCCAGGGGCTCTGGGGTCCCTCGTCATGCCCTCCTCCTCCAGGGAGGGGAAGGTGGGGGTGTGCCTTCTGCACCTGGCTGAGTGGGCAGGGCATGTGCAGTACCTGCACCTGCTGGACCTCCAGCTGGCAGTGTCTCTACCTTCCTGAGGGTGGTCTCACTCTGCCCCTGGGACTTCAGAGCCCACCTCTCTGCATTTCTGCATGGCATCTGTTTGGGGGGTTCAGGCTCTCTCTTCAGTCTGTGTTATTTTAGGAGTCGGTTGAGAGTGGTAGACAACCCTACACTTTATTTTCAGTTTCTCACTCCCCCTCACTCTTGGATGCGCTTGCCTTCCTGGGACCTTTCAGTCCTCTGCTGGTTTTGCTTTTATTTGCTGGTGCCCCAGAGCCAAGGTTTGTGTCTGCTTTTTGTGTGTGAACTGCTTAGGAATGGCAAAGAGACTTGGCTGGAGAGTTGCCCAGGATCGCACATCCTGGCATCCCTGCTGGAGTGACAAGGGCTGGACTGCAGAGCTTTCCAGAAAGGGGCCCTGGCACCAAAGACAAGAGGACCTTGGCCGGATGGTTGCTTTCAGTCCTCTCTAGGATACTTTGGCAGGAAGTGTGCTCACTGGGAGGTGGGGTGTAGAGGCAGTACCAGATTGCCAGAGGATCCCATGGAGAGGTTGGAATGCCCACTGGGTGGTCCAAGAGCAGTCCTGGGACTTCCCCATGTCTCCTCCTCTCCCCTCCCAGAGAATGAGAGACTGGGAAGGTCTCCACCACACACTTGGAATAGAACAAGACATCTAGTCTCTGTCTTCAAGTCATAGTTGCTGAGAACAGCTACAGCTGGTTTATAAAACCAGGGCAGTGGTCCCCTCCCACCACTCTTCACAATACGGCCCAGTGACTTATCCCAATGACACACCATCCTATTTAAACACCTCCCTGCCTTTCCAGAAGAATTTAAAAGAAATCCTCAAGGTGGGGTAAGCTCCCACAGGCCTGTGATTGTGGTTTCATTTATTTGGCCTACTGGTGGGTTCCCACAGAGGACATCAAGGGGAGGGGACGGGGCAGGAGGCACAGGGAAAGCAGGGTACTGTAAACACGGACATCTTTCAGGCTCAGCTGGCTGGGTGACCAGGGGGTCATTGTTGGTCATCCCTGGGATGGCAGACTCTGAAGCCTGTAATCACAGGTTGATGCAGCTGCTTGGAATGATAGCTTGGCTGAACCAGAGAGGGCAGCCTCTCACAGGAGTAGGGGGCGGGGAAGGTTTGGCTAATTCCCGTGGGATGAACTAAGTGACTTAGAAGGGCTTTTTCTATTACTTGTACTGATAAAAATTGGCAAAAATATACCTTGTGCTGTCTTTGGACATGTCAACCCAAAGTGATTTGGCAAAGTAGGTTTATTTCACCACCAGCGTGGCGCTTTACCCATAGTTGGCACTCAGTTAAGTGTTTGTTTGATTAACTGCTCATTTCTTTACAAGTAATGAAAACAGTATTGAATTTGTATTCTGCCATTTTTCTAGCTGCGTGGAATTGGGCGATGTCAGCATCCTTCCCATGTTCCTTTGGCCTCAATCAATGACTGCTGGGAGAAGGTGCATAAGTCCTCCAGCTTCCTCGTCTCTGCTGGGGTTGCTTTGGGGCGTGTTCTCTGCTATCTCTCAGAGTTGCCTGGCAGGACTGAATCCCAGCTGCTCACAGTAGTAACTGGCTGCCTTCATTGGCTGCCTTCCCTTCCCTGTTCACTTTCCTATTCCCTTCCACTGGCACTTGAACCTTTATCTTAGGGTCAACTTCTGGGGGACACCAGCCTAAGACAGGCTTTAGTCTGTAGTTAAAAAGTCATTTGAAGTCTCTGAGTCTCAGTTTCCTCAACTGTGAGATGGAAATGATAATTGTCTCACAGGGATATTGTGTTATGTGCTGAGCCAGGGGCCTGACAAACAGCCAGCATTCAGGCAAACTTTTGCTGGCTTGTTGATGAGTGTAAAAGGGACTGTGATGGATTTGGGAGTGAGTGTTATGATGGACCATGGAGAATTATAATGCTGTCCTTAGATTAGGTGAGGACACTGAGGCCATCTGCTCACAGTTTTCACACCTAGATTGTGATGTGCTGATAAATGTTTGACAACTGGCTCTGCAGGGAGGGGGGAAAAAAACCGGTTTTGTGGTGTTCGGTGGTTTTTGAGTGTAAATATACCCACCATGGCAGATTTAAAGCCACTAGCATGGCATTACTCAATACTTTGTTGGGACAGATGTGCTCGGTCAGCCCTTGAGGGCCAGTAGGAGCCAGATTCACGAACATCTGGCTGTGTCTGAGCTGAGATGTGACCTCAATGATCTTGATTTCCAATTTTGTCCAAAGGGAGAAGAAGATAAGAGTTGTACTAGGCATCAAAATGTGTGGTATATTCAACTCTGAACTGGCTGATTCACTGTGTGTGAGACGCTTCTGAGGTTCATGTGAAGATTATTGAGTCTTTTAGGGCCTCGGTTTCCCTATCTCCAGGGCAAGGGGTTAGATGATTTCACAAGTCTCTTCCAGCCTTCGTTCCTTTTAGGAAGACACCATTGCATTCTCCTCCTGTCCACACAAGAGCAAAACCTGTAACAAAAGAAAACCTTTCATGAGTGCACACTTACGAGTATGTTGCTCACCATGGAGCACCCAGCACTGGGCCATCCTAGAGTTTTGCTGTTGTCTTTCCTGCTGGCACATGGGAATTCAGTAGACATTAACCCAGTAAAATTCTGCCTTCCTTGTGTACCACTTTCACTTCATGACACAGTCATGGTGTGTCCCCAGAGGAAGCCTGGGGAATGGGGAAGGAGGGGCTGGTTTCTTATGGAAAGGACAGTCCCTGTTCCTGAACCACTATGCAATGCCACAGACACCCAAGTGAAATCCAAGAGAAGTCCATGTGGATAAAGATACTTTTATATGACAGAATTCAACATCCCTAATGCAGTTATACTCGTAATGCTCTGGTGACAATCCCCCTAAGGGAGTCCCTGACTCAGCAACTCCACGTGTAGGAATTCTTATGCTAAGGATACAATTGGGCAAGGGCAGAAAATTATGTGCATGTGGATGTCCTTTGCAGCATTATTTATAATAATCACCACCACCACAACAAAAAAATGGAGACTAAATGTCCAATGATAGTGAACCTGTTTGGTATATTATATACATTGGAATTATATACCACGTGGCAACAAAAAAAATAAAGAACATAGATGTATATCTATTAACATGGAAAATATCTTTCTAAAGAGCAGATTACCAAATAGTGTACTTTATGTATAAAATATATCATCCATTTATATTTGCTTATGAAGGGATATATGACAAAATGTTAATAGTTATTGTCTCTGAGTGGTAGAATTTGGAGAGATTTTGACCTTAATCTTTTTTTTCATATTAAATATTTTTTATTTTTAATGATGGTAAAATATACATAACATAAAATTTACTCTTTTAACCATTTTAAAGTGTATAATTCAGTGGCTTTCCTAGTCTGTTGAGGCTGCTATAACAAAATACCACAGACTGAGTGACTTACAAACAGCAGAAATTAATTTTACACAAGTCTGGAGGCTGGAGGTCTGAGATCATGGTGTCAGCAGGGTCAAATGAAGGCCGTCTTCCCGATCGCAGAATTTTTATTATATCCTCACCTAGTGGAAGGGGCTAAGGGGCTTTGTGGTGTCTCTTTTATGAGAGCACTAATCCCATTCATAAGGCTCCACCCTCATGACCTATCACCTCCCAATTTTCCCACCTCCTGACACAGCTGCCCCTGTGCATCTGCGGGTTCCTCATCTGCTGATTCAACCAACTGTGGATGGAAAGTATTGGGGGGGAAAAAGCTACATTGTTGCTGATGTGTACTATGTAGTTAGGCCTAGGATGGTTGCATCTGCCCTGAACATGTGCAGACATTGTTTTCTTGTCATTCTTCCCTGAACAATACAGTATAACAACTATTTATGTAACATTTACATTATATTAGATAAATAATCTAGAGATGATTTAAAGATATGGGAGAATGTGTGTAGGTTGTATGCAAATACTATGCTATTTTATATAAAGGACTTGAGCATCCGAGGATTTTGGTATCCACAAGGACCCTAGAAACGATCCTCTGCT